ACCCCGTTTAAAGTTCAAGTCAATCCGTTTAAAGTTCAAGTCAATCCGGGCACCCCGCAAATCAGTCAAGATAAGTCCGGTAAATTCAAACTGACCAATCGCAATGCAAGAAATGGACTGATTTGGCCCTCTTAAGGTGTAAATCAGTCCGGCCACCCCACAAATCAGTCGAGATAAGTCCAAATGGCTTATCGACCAATCAAATGAGCAGGCTGACCCACCCTATTCTGCGAGTTTTTTGCATTTTACCGCTGCTCTGGATGAAAGAATATTGCTTTTTTGAAACTGAACCCTTTAACTGGACGATGATTTTAATTCTTATTACAATCTTGAAGGGGTTAATTATTTATACTTCAAGATAAATTTCAATATTTAATTATCATTTTTACTGCCAAATATACATAAGTCGCGCGACTGACTGGACTTACCCTAGATCCACCCCTGAACATAGGAACACTTCTGAGCAGTTTCACCGATAAAAGGATCGATCCGGCAGCTGTGACTGGTCTTAGTGATAATGAGTTGATACATCTTGGGGTTCACACAATTGGAGATCCTGTGCTCCCGAGGGCAATTTACCAACGAAAGGTGGCTGAATGTCAAAGTGCCCAAATTGGCCACAGTTTAGCATTAGCATTACAAGAGCGCACTATGTTGTTCAGGTTACCAAAGACTGTAACCCAAAGGTCTTCCACTTCCAAAAATGGTCTTCCACTTCCAATCATACATCGTTGCTCACGACCACGTGCGGACGTGTATTTTATAGCTCCGTTTCGATCGATTTAAATTTACTTTAAATATGGATAAAGTGTTAGCGATTCCTACGAATAAGTTCGTCTTCTTGAAAGACAAACTATCCTGGACAGGGAATCTGGACGAATTAAAAGCATTTGTTAGCACAGTTGTCGATAAGGAGGCTTTAGAACAAGCCTTTTGGAAATCACCCAGTGGTGGTACTTGGAAGTTTACGAGCAAGCAGCTTCTCGTCACTTGGTATTCTAAAAGCAAGTCAATTTATTTCAAAGGTTCGAGAGCAAGTGAACTATTATCGCTGATTCGGGATCAACTATGTCCCTCTAGTGCTAATATTCCCTCTCATGATGGCGATAACACAGCTTGTAACGGCATTAACTGTTCAGATTGTAAAGCTACTAGAGTCGAGATGGCTGAAGCAAAGCTTGCTATGCTTTGGCCAGTGGTGCATAAACTCGAAGACATTGTTAAGGCCAACCTGCCTTGTTCTGATATTGAACACTTGAAAGCTGAAATTAATTTGTTAAAGAATCAAAATGAAAGCATTAAAGTGTCTATGAAGTGAAAAAATCACATTTTTTTTGTTTTAAAATGATAGATTAGGGATAGACGGAAAGTAGAAAAATTGTTTTATAAAATTTCGTATATTAGTGACCGAGATAGAGCTACCTAAAGTTAGAGTTTTAAGTGACCATTTTTTATGGAGCCTGGGGATGAGTATGATGTTTTGTGACGTATGCAAATGGACACGACGACAATCACGCACGATAAACATAATAAAGAATCATAGCAAAATATGGCTACTGCGATGGAAGTTACTAAGAAAAGCGAACGCTCTTCGAGCTCAAATTCATCTTCACAAGAAAGCGCTAGCGAGGATGAAATTCTAGAGCAATCGTCTCTTATTGTACCCTATTCAAACGAACCGCTTGCTAGTAGCGGCGATGAGTTTGACGAGAGTACAACAGACGACGAGGATGGCATTTCTTCCGAGACGCTCGGGAAAAGATGGAGCAAGGACGTGCCAGTGAACTCATGGTGAGTTGCGCTATTATTTGGTTCGTCCTAAACTAAACTTTTCATTGAAGGCACTCTATTAATACAATATAGGTGTCAATGTGGACGGTGCAACGATCGTCACCTCAGTAGCGCAAGGGATATCATTGCTGTAAGGAAATCCTTGAGTGTGCAGGGAAGTATACGTATGAGGGTAAGGATGCTGCGTGCATTGTGGAACATTGGGATTATTTGCCAATGGTTCACAGAACTGTGTTAAGTAACGTTGGGCAGTTATTAACCAGGAAAGATGGCACTAAATATAAAAGAAAAAAAAACCAGAGTGAAAACGAGTGGGTACTTTGTAACTATTATAAAGTTCAATGTTCATATTTGTATATACTATATTTTTTGTCCTTATTTATATGTATAGTGAATTGATCAGAATCGCTTTATGACAAGGCAAGGCAAGGGATCAATATTTCAAACTCACATGCAAAACATGTCAAACTTTGATACAAACTTTCTACGTGTTCATGTACATGTATATGAAATGTAAATGCATCAATTTTTCAATAATTGTTTCCTTATTAATCCATAGATATCTACGTTCAGTCGCCTATCGGTGGCTTGTTTTATGGCTGTGTGGCTATCTGGGATGGGACCATTCACGACCACTACCAGCGTGCATTTATGACCACATCAGGTCTGAGTTCCCTAGTGCTGATGTACAAGGTTATAAAGGTGCCAGGCAAAGACAGCAGAATCAGTGATTATATATTTATGTGACTATATATTTATGTTACCTTTTTTATTAACAATGATGAAATTTTGAATGTTTGACTGAAATAAAGTTAAACTGAATTATTTGAATTTTCACAAGCAGATTTTTTTGTGTCCTTTCATTGGCTGGTTACATTTCTTGCAGGTTGGTGCTTTATGCTTGTGTTTGGCTGCTTGTTGCTCCCTTTGGGCATTCAGTAGTTTCTCTTGTTCAGCAACTGGCATAGAGAATTAATTATGTACTGAGTTCTTGGTAATAAGTAATTAAGTATGAGAGAAATTGTTCTGAGGAGATAATTTACCTGCAGGAAACAGTTCTGTTACCATTTTCTTTCTTTTGTCTTGTCTCTTAATTGTGTCTTTCCTTCCAAGACGATTCTCAAACTGTGCTGATAATGGTTTGGGAACTTTCTTCCTGTACTTTTTTTCATATCTGTTAAGGGCAGGTTGAACAAAACTCTTTTTAAATCTGAAACATAACCTGTTATAAGGGGAAAAAAATAATGTCAAATTTTTAAAACTATGAATTTGTCACTTGACTAGTAATGCTTTAATGTAAAGTTCAAATATTACCATATGTGGGAGTGATTGCAATCTCACAAACTAATTCATCACCAAGCTTGTATTTAGGATATGTCACTTTTATGTATCGTAAGCCTTCATTTGTTTTTCTGGTTTGCCTGCTTACATTCTCATTGAAGTGGAGACATGCCAAAATGTGTCTAACACATAAAATAAATTTTGATTTTTATGCAGAAAACATACAAAAACTACCTACAGAGATAACTGCACGGAACTTTCAACAATAATGTCACCTGCAATATGTACCCATCCAAGAGAAGCTTAGCATCTTAGGGTGCCAATGGTTTAATGTAGCATGAAAACCTTCCAAAGAGCTTGTCTGAGCTTCTGGTGACATCTTTCGTACATCATTAATGACGTTCCCTTTCAGCAAGATAGATTTTAATTTCTCATGTGGTCTACTGCCTGAAAATATATTTGCATATATTTACTGCTTCATTTTATAGAACTGTTTCAAAATATGTTGTGCCGTTTTGTTGTCATATACATTGGTTGTATAGCTGCCTCTCCATACTGAATATACCTACAATATTTCAACCATTTTCTTGGCGCCAAATCACCATGAGCACATGCTTTGTACAATGGGTCCGGGTGGTCCGTATGTTTATTACACACATGCCGGAGAAACGACTTCCATTTAGCGACGATCAAATCTCCAAAACCAGGTTTTGTAGAGGTTGCACACCAGTAAAGATGAGATTTAATAGCCTTAGTCCAGTTTTTTAGAATTTCGCACGTATTGTCTTTGCTAGCTTTGAGAACCTTTTTGATTATGGATTTTGCAATATGCCAAATGTCATAAAAGTGCGTTGTTCCTTTTTCTTTTGTTCTAATTCATTTACCAATACCTCTATGTCGATCAGAAATAAAAGTCTTTATCTCCAAACCAGATGTTTTCAAGTGCGAGAAACATCTTTTGGCGCCGGCCAACTCCATAGCATTGCTGCTGCCTGTCTCGTTAGACTAAAAATGCAAATTATCTCTTAAACTCTCCAACAGACTGTGTACAGCTAGATATAGCACAAAATTATTTAAAATACCTGCAATAACTCAAAATGAACAATCTTTTGAAGATCACAGCAAAACATGCTGTACACACCATATTTAGCACTATGTCCCATAGAATCAAATCTTCCATCGCCACACCATGAAACATCTTGTAAACCTTTCACTCTGCCAACCAAGACAGCACATACGTTTCCCAGTGTTTCAGTATGACCGGGAACAAGAATTTTGCTTGATGTTGATAGAAGGCTCTTGCTGTAAAGACTGCTAAACCCATATGCTTAAACACCAGTAGAATTTTGCTTATCAAAGCACCGGCCAATAACGTAGCAAAACTTAAAAGTATGTTTCCAGCAGGGTATCGCCCGAGCACAAGAGGTTGGCTGTGCCATTTATATGTCCCGCCACAGTGATCACAATTTTGATATACCGTTACCATAGTTCCATGGACTTTCATTTCGACTGCTGGGGAGTTGTCTTCACATTTGAAGCAAAACATCGAAAATAATGACATAAGCGTAGAGTAAAACACAACAAACTTAGGTTCATCAGTGCTGGAGGTGCCTGGATCCACCCAGGGGCGTAGCTACGGGGGGGTGCGGGGGGGTGCTGCACCCCCCCAATGCCGTGCTTGTCGGCAAAATAAGGCAACTGTCGGCACAAAAATAAAATGAATTTTACTGATTTGTAATTTCGTACAAGTAATTTGAATGCATCGGAAAATACTTGAAAATGAAGAAATGAATTGTTTGTTCGGCCTCGGGTTCTGAAGATTCAGGCTTGCGCCATTGCGCGACAGTTCAGTGCCAGTTGCGGGCACATTTGACTTTTCGCAGCGCCACCTGCGGTCCGTACGCTGCAATAAGATATATCATATTACGTATATGAAAGTTGCGCTATGAAACATGATATAGCATACAAAACACAACACTCATCTGCGCGTCATTTGCTTTGGGAATGTTTATACTTTATTATATACACGAATTTGCGAAATTAAAAAGGTAAACGAATAAAACAAACTGAATGAATGGAGAGTAGCAAAGGTAAACGCAAACGGAAGCGAGAGAAACTGACATGTTTAGTCTGTAATCGGTCGTTTGATGATGATTACCGAAATGAACACAACAAGAAATACCACGATGATTTGTTAAAGGCAGGGAAATCAATATCTTATAAAGTGGCCGGTGCTCCCGCAAACCCGTTTGTCTTGGCGGCACAGATACATAAGGAAAAGGTAAGGCTGTTTTTTAAATACCATATTTCTAGCTCCCCACAAACATATTAATTAGTAATAACCTCAAAGGAACATTTAAGTTTAAAACCTCCAATGTGTGATAACTATAGGTATCACAGACAAAGAATGATCCGGAAAGCTCTGGTGCCCCTTTGGAGACGTTGACTGTTTCCGCAGGCGAAAGTGTTGCCGAGAAAGATTCCCAACCCTCAAAATCACATAATGTTGACACAGCAGTACTTTCTTCAAAGGTAACTTTTTTATCTTTCAAGTCTAACTAAATTTATCCAATTAACTTTTTCCATATTTGTTATGAAATATTTGTAAATAGCTCTCAACGTTTTGAATTTTCAATAATATTGAATTAGGCATCAGGAAGCGAAAGTGACAAATCACACAAAGACGAAACAGTCGAGAGCTATACCGTGGAAGACGTGAACAAAGAGACCGAAGTAAGCGAGGGCGATGGTAACATAACATGGCTTCAGTGCGCAGGGTTGCTCCATTATCTCAAGTTTCAACTTCGTAACGTTGAAGGAATTATGGACGAAGTTGCATCGGCTGATAATCCCAATCAGGAACATTTTCTGAGCAAAGTGGTCGAAACTGCTGATCAAGTTAGGGAAACTGCAAGCGAGCTTGTTAAAAGATCATCTCAAGTTCTCAAAAACATTGAAAAGGAGAAGATGACACTCGAAGATAGCAATGAGAATTATTTTTCCCCTGCAATTCCACCATTGGATCCTGCATTGCGATCAAGGCATCTGACAGACAGTCAAAAAACGTACCTGATACAAATCGGTCCGAATCAACCGCATTTACAGGCATATCCAACCAACCCAAGTGCCTCCGACGTTATGAGAGAAGGCCACAAGCAGTCCAGGTTTAATCCATCCTGGTACAAAGATTACCCTCACCTGGAATATAGCATATCAAAAGATGCTGCCTTTTGCTTTGTATGTTCTCTGTTTAGCAGTGGTCCAGGGATGGAGAAAGCGGAAAGTGCTTGGAGTACAGAAGGAGTGCGCACATGGCATAAATTTAAGAGCTGTGGGAAGGCGAAGCCTGGGAAGTTAGCAACACACTTCTCATCTACGAGTCACAAAAGTGCCGTCCTGGCGTATGCAAATTTTGTGAAAACGTCTGGACACGTCGATGTACTGCTTTCTAAGGCCAGACGTCAGGCTCTCATCCAGGAAGAGGAAGACCTAATCCACAACAGGAAGATTGTTGAGATACTGCTCGACGTAACGAAAACACTCGGACGCCAAAGTATCGCGTTTAGAGGTCACGGAGATGACAAAGAAGGAAATTTCCAGCAGATTGTGATGATGATGGCCAGACATTGTCCCGATTTAAAAGCCTGGTTCAACACTACCCGGATGCGACCATACCGCATAACATATCTAAGTGCACACTCCCAAAACGAATTTATTCAACTAATTGGCCACCAATTGCAAAAACAGATTGCCAAAGAAATTGAAGAAGCCCACATGTACTCGGTCATGGCTGATACAACGCCAGATGTTTCACACAAAGATCGCCTTGCACTTGCTTGTCGGTACGTGGATGCCAACGGTCAGCCAAGAGAACGATTGATGTCACTGACGGAAGCCAAAGACAAGACGGGGGAAGGAGGAGCTAGGGAGATCATCGAGGCGCTAAATAAGCATGAGATCAATTTAGACGATCTATGCTTCCAAAGCTACGACTACGCAGCTTCAATGTCTGGAAGATTCAATGGAGTTCAAAAGAAGATTCAAGATAAGCTTGGAAGAAGAATTCCATATATGCCATGCTTAGCACACCGTTCAAACACGGTAATTGAACACAGTTGTGAAGCAAGCGCTATTATAACTGAGTTGTTCAACGTACTCGAGGAATTGTATGTTTTCTTCACGAGCAGTACCAAGCGCATTTCATCGCTTAAAGAGCACATCGATGATGCAGATATCGATAACCCGTTGCAGCTAAGGAACCTGTCCAAGACACGCTGGGTGGCTCGAGCGGAATCGATCAAGGCTGTGTGGTCGACGTACGAAGCAATCTTGAAATCATTGACGGATCTTAAAGAACGTTCAACTGATGGTAAGACAAAAACGGCTTCCTCGGGTTTGTTGGCCAAAATCACTCAATTCGATTTCATCGTGTGCATAATGTTTATGAAAAACATAATGTACAAAACGAAGAGAATGACGGAGATCCTTCAGAAAGAGGAACTTAACATCATTGACGCAATTACAATTATGGAATCAACCATAAAAAGCTTGGAAAGCGTGGCCAACGACAGTGATGCAATGAATGCAGAAATTCAAGCAGCAACTGTGTTCGCAGAACGGCTTGGTGTGGATGTAGAGAGTGATTTCCGACGCCATCATCGCCTCAGAAAACCACCTCGAAGAATCGATGACAACCCCTCTAATACTGTAGCACTAAGCCTGGAGTCCTTTTACCGGAAAGAATTTAAAGCAGTATTGGATACTCAGATCACCCGCTACAAAGAAGTGTACAACAGTTCCAAAGAAACGACTGGTCCACTGATCGATGTTTTGCATCCTTCCAAAGGCAAGGTTCCACTGGAATCGTTTAAAGACTTCGGAGAATTTTTCCCACGAGACCAACGACCAGACGCAGAAGCTCTAATGGCAGAAATTGAAGTTTTCAAGGTGCACCTAGCTGACAATCACAACGACGTTAAAAATATTTCTGAGGCAGGCGAAATATCAGAGAAACAGAAGTCAGTGTTTCCCTTGACGAACAAGGCTTATCGCCTAGCTCTTACTGCACCAGTTACTGTAGCGAAAGACGAAAGAACATTTAGCAAGTTAAAGCTTGTGAAAACCCTGTGCAGATCAACGATGCGCGATGAACGACTGGAAGAACTGCTACTAATGGCTTGTGAAAAAGATATCACAGATAGCATAAGCATTTCCCGAATGGCTACAGCTTGGGCAGCTTTAAAACAACGTCGGGTCTCCATTTCCATATCATAGAGAAGACTAGAACTGTATGTCTGTATATACTGTAGTGGGAAATTTTATAAAATGCACACACGTTTCAACATTTTAGAAGTTTTAAATTTAGGAATCACATGAATAAAATATTTTACTTGGGAGTTATTGCCTTTTATATCACCTTCGACCACGCCCTAATTGCGCACTTAGCCACGCCCTTTTATCGGCAAAATGCGGTCGTGCACCCCCCCAAAACAATGACACTCGCTTCGCCCCTGGATCCACCCTATAATTATAAATGATTTAGCATATGTACGTATGTTCGGTTACCTTCCTCAAAATGCCAAGCTTAAGGATGGTATAAGCAAACCTAATAAAAAGAATGTTTTCACATATTAACCTGACATTTGTTCTGGAGTTAGACTCGATAGAATCCCCTTCGACTAAATCCTCCGCATTTTTGCACCATTCAGGATCACTAGCTTCATCATAGACCTCTTCATCTGCTGTGCTTTTCTCATCTTCGTCCATCATCGCTTCAACTTTGTTTTGTGTAGTCAACATGGAGGTTAGCACGTTTTCTCAGCGCTCCTGCTATCTCGTCCTAGTGTTGCTTTTTTGCACACTTTGGATGGATAGTAAAAATGTAAATAGCAATGGTAGCTTGTTTACCATCCTTAAATTGGATGTGAAGCATTATCCTGGACGAAACTCGGGATGCCCAAGACATAATTGTGTTAGTAAACCATCAACATCGACACTGGTGAAGCTGCGAGCTGCACTGCTCGTGACGAGGGCAAGTCTGACTGCTGGTGACCTTATTATGCTTGCTGGTGATATAAGTCCTAACCCTGGCCCTGTATTTGGTACAACTAAAGAAGTACATGCTGAAAACTATCCCTTCTCGTTTCCCGGTGAAAATTGTGAAAGCGGTGAAACGTGTCTTGAGCCAAATAGTCTCGCAAGCTTGACTAAAAGGAAAGGTGTGAATATATTCCATCAAAATATACGGGGTTTATTTCATAAAATGGCGAATCTATCCACTGTGTTTGAACAAGGAAAGGGTATTGATATATATACTCTATCTGAAACACACATAGTTGAAAACAGTGAGTTTGACAACGTTGAGCTTTATCGAATCGCGGGGTACCACTTTGTGAAAAAGAATAGATCTAATGGACTACAAGGGGGAGTAGCGGCATATATATCAAACAGACTGCAATGGAAAAAGCGACCTGATTTAGAATCGGAGAAGCTCGAGTGTATTTGGATAGAGATTTTTCCAGCAAAGGCGAAAAGTTTCCTAGTTGGCTGTATTTATCGCCCACCTGACTCGTCACCTTATCATCTGAAAGACTTCAACAAACTTTTTAAAAGTATGCTATCAACTGTAAATGACCTTAAAATGGAGACGATACTCGTGGGACATATGAACATAAATTATATTAAAAAGCCTGATCACCAGAAATTGAAAGATATCATAAATACCGCTGGTTTTAAGCAGATTATTGATAGCCCCACGAGAGTTACTGCAAAGTCTAGTACGCTGATCGACATTATATTGACAAACAATGAACAGAACATTGCTGAATGGGAAGTGGTGCCATTATCGTTAAGTGATCATGACTGTGTGGGTTGTGTGCGCAAGTTAAATTATCGAAAGTATAAGGCAAAATCAATCAAAATACGAAATTATTCATATTACAACCCGACTGAATTTTGTAAGGATATAAATGAAGAAGATTGGCACAAGCTTTACCTGATACAAAGTGTAAATGAAGCGTGGGCATTTATGAGAGATTTGTTATTGCAAAACATAAATAAACATGCTCCAATTATAGAGAAGCGGGTCAAAGGTCGTTTTTGTCCGTGGCTCTCGTCTGAACTTAAGAATCACATGAACATTCGTGATAAGCTCCTTCGGAAGGCAAGGAAAACAAATAGCGATATTGACTGGAAAGCCTATAAACAGTCAAAAAACCGATGCAACAACGCTGTAAAACAAGCCAAGTATGAATATCATCGAAATCTTCAAGATGAAACATGCAATAATCCTAAAAAGTTTTGGAGAGTAATAAAGAACATATTCCCAAAAGCAAATTCAAAACAAACTAGTTTGGATGAAGCCAACAAAATAGATGTAAAATCAGTTGCGAACAAATTTTGCGAATTCTTCTTAACAATGGCTTTTAAATTAAAACAAAAGTCATTGCCATTAAGAAATTTCATCTGGGGAAAACCACCTGTACAGGCAAAAGTGAGAACAAATAAACAGTTTAAATTTACCTATGTGAGCAAAATCTTTGTTGAGAAGCAGCTAATGGCTTTTAAACGAGGAAAATCTGCTGGACATGATAATATTCCACCTGGTATGTTGAAGGATGCAGCAGGTGAATTGGCGAAGCCATTATCGTATATTATAAACTTGTCTTTAGGTACTGGTGTAGTGCCCTCAGAGTGGAAAATTGCCAAGGTGACGCCTATATACAAGAGTGGATCAACATCACTGTTCGACAACTATCGACCTGTTTCAGTGTTGCCGATCTTATCCAAAATCTTAGAACGTGCAGCAAATAAGCAGTTAACCAAATTCCTCGAAAGCAATCACTTGTTATCTAAATATCAATTTGGCTACCGTAAAAAGAGATCTACAGAACATGCAACAGTTTTGTTCACCGACAACATTCGAAAGAAAGCGGATACGGGGAATCTTGTAGGGGCAATATTTGTTGATCTTTCCAAAGCTTTCGACACACTATCCCATAGTATATTACTAGCGAAACTCGAAAGTTATGGTATTGTGGGTTTAGAATATAAATGGTTTTCTGACTACTTATTTCAACGAAAGCAAGTGTGTAATTACAAAAACACATTGTCAGATGAATTCCCCTTAACATGTGGTGTGCCGCAAGGATCAATCCTGGGACCAGTATTATTCCTATTATATTTTAATGACCTGGAAGAAAATCTCACTCATTCGAGTGTTATATTATTTGCTGATGATACCGTTCTTTATGTGGCAGACCCATAATTTTCCGTCATCGTGAGCAAGCTAAACGCTGATTTAAAGAATTTAAATAAATATTTTACGGACAATGAACTAATCATTAATTTAAAGAAGAACAAAACCGAGTCAATGCTATTTGGTACAGCGAAAAGACTAAGCAGTTGTCCAGATGAACTAGACCTACGTTACCAAGATACAAAAATAAATTCAACGACTACATACACATATCTTGGAACTACCCTAGACAAAAAATTAAATATGGCTGAAAATTTTAGAAAAACTTATAAGAAATTATCGTCGAAGTTACGGTTACTTTCTTCCTTGAAGCCGTGCTTAACTCGGAAAAGTCTGGGGAAGATCTATCAGGGAATAATTTTACCAACAGCTTTATTCAACTGCACTGTAAACCTTAACTATTCCAATACTCAACTAACGATGCTCGAATCTATAGATCGAAGGGTGGAAAGGATTCTTGGGGAGAAAAAACCTAGTATCCTAAACGAAATTTATAAACACACTGTGTTGATTGTTAAAAAATGTATGTTAGGGGAAACTAATGAACATTTCGCGGATTACTTTACTCTTAAGGTGCATGAAAAAGCCACGAGGAATAATGGGACTTTACTTTGTATTCCGAAAACAAAGCTGAAACTTGCCAAATCAGGATTTTTCTCTATGGGTGTTAAAATTTATAATACCTTGCCAAATGAGATAAGGCGATTGGAATCTTTTCCTGCTTTTAGAAATAAAGTAAAACTTTTTTACTTGTAATTAGTAGTTAGTATTTTATCTTTTTATGGATGATCTAAGCATGCATACATATTACCTTTTTATATGTAGTTTTACAATCAGTAATATTCTACTTAATTTAGAAATAGTTTAATTAGTTCTAACATGACAGGACACACGGTAATAGCAGTAATTTTTTACTGAAGTGTTTTATATCCTGTTTGTAAATATTCATGCATAATAATAATAATAATAATAACTACTTCATCATCAACAGACATTCTCTGTATACAAAAAACATGGTAAACAGATGCATGTTGTAGTGGTTTTCAAAAAGAATACCAAAGCTATATTTCAAGAACATTAATCTTGCTAAATGACACCACACCTTTCCTATATTTTCTTGCCTCCTTTTCTCTGATTCCAAAGTTTCAATTCGTTCTTCACAGGACTTTAACTCGCGTTGTAGTTTTTTAACCTTTCGCTGATACATCCGTGCATTTTTACGTCTTTTTTTGCACATTTTGCATGAAACTGGAACTGCACTTTTATTTTCTTGGTTATCTGGAAGATTGCTACCAACGCTGGTAAAGGAACTATCTAATACATCATCTGACATAATCATGGAATCATCTAGGCTCGTATCAAGTTGATCTGCCTGTTCTGTAGTTATCTGCTCTTCAGTCTCTGCATCTTCCATCAGCTGTTTAGACGATGAACAGGAACCTTCTTCATTTCCTAGCATTTCGTGGATTACCTAAAAACAATTAATCCCAATAATATAATTTTACTCATTTGTTACACAGTTTTGTCATTTAATTTAAAAGCGCAATATTAGAGTTAATAACTAGAAAGTTACCTGTCTTTGGCGACGTGCTATTCCAGAAGTTGGTACGTCCTGAGGTAAAACTATATTTTTCGTTGGAATTGAACCCGGTTTGAGATACATTGCTTTTGGCTTTAACGGAGAAGGAACGCCCAAGGAATAACGCATTGGATAACACGATGTTTCAAAATGAGCAAAGCAAATAGCCGAAGAGTTCGTAGGTATAAAATTCACCCGGTGTTTTCGAACAAATTGGACCCACAATTTATATTCGTTTGGATTTTTTTCTTTCCTCGGAAATTTATGCATTGAAATTCCAGGAGTGTGTGTCGAGTTTGTACAGCTAATACCACCTGGGCCCCCACAAGCGCAGTATAAACCTCCTCTTTTTATCGTTTACTGCGATGCCATGTGCAAACTAAAAGCAATGTTCGTTCCGGTGTATGTAGTTTAGTGACTAGTGTAGCTACAAAATTT